CCAGGAATCATTTGCTTTGAAAACGAAACGAATTCTTCAGGTGGACTTTAGATATACAGAATGTCTCCGAAAGGTGGGCAAACCTCGAAACTGGATATACTACAGACCAAAATATGTGAATTGACCTAAACATACCCTTGTCCAAAAGTTGATAGCTTGCAAGATACATGGTGTCAAAGTTACAATTTTATTTTCCATTCTTCATTATTGCTTGAGAAGTATTTTAAATGTTGGCATACAACTCGGTATATGGAGGTTTTCTAGTATGAGAATCAAGAGTCCGTTATTTTTTATGGCCAAACTCCTAGAGAACGCCACTTACAGCGCTATTTCGGTAAATAACTTATCATTACTTTTTTGTGCCACCCTGTATACAACAACTGACCGAAAAAGCTGATTTTCTCATATTTCAACAACACAAAAGGTTTACTTGTTACAAGTGTCTAAAGCTAATAGTTTTCGAGATATTTGTTTTTAAAATTTCCATTATATCTTGCCAATCTGTACATTAAATGCACATCAGAATATTCATCAAACGTATACACCATGATGTTTAACAACTTATTGTCAACTTAAAATTATTCATGAAGCTGACAGCAGTATCATGACAAACATTAGAAACCATAGCAACGCTACTCAGATATTATCCAAAGCAACTTGATTATTATGTTCTAAAAATGTTTTATCATCATGGTACAAATAATGCATTGGAACCTTTAAAAACAAATATCTCGAAAACTATTACCTTTAGATACTTCTTACAATTAAACCTTTTTTGTTGTGGGAATACGATAAAATAAGATGTTTCAGTCAGTTGTTGTATACAGGGTAGCACAAAAAAGTTATGATAAGTTATTTACCGAAATAGTGCTGTAAATGGCGCCCTCTAGAAGTATGGCCATGAAAAATAACGGATTCTTGTTTCTTATACTAGAAAACCTCCCTATGCCGAGTTTTATGGCAAAATCTGAAATACTTCTCAAGCAATAAGGAGAAATAGACAGTAAAATTGTAACTTTGACACCCTGTATCTGTCAACTTTTGGACAAAGGTATGCTTAGGTCAATTCACATATTTTGGTCTGTAGTATCTCCAGTTTCGAGGTTTTCCAACCTTTCACAGTATATAAGAGTGAATGTATGTTCAGTCTGACAGCACCACAATACGGAGAGACAAAAAATGTGAAAACTTGCTAACTGAAACCAGAGAAAGGTAGGTTATCCGCGAAAATAGACAGTGTGTTCAAAAAGTATGGATAAATCCAAATATCTCGAAAAATACGTTTCCTAGCGAAAAATATTGTAGAACAAAGTGTAAAGTTTAAAAAGATGCATTGTTTGGAGGTCTTGAACATGATCTTGACTACGGCAGTGCTTATAAATGAAATCCCTATTTTTGATACGGGAAATGAAAAGGGAGAGAGATTTCAGTGTCTTTGCTCATGACCTTGACCATGATCCTCATGGATATTTGAAGGTGTCCAGAAAATCGGGAAAGGAAAAAGACCTAAAAAAATACGTTTCATAAAGAAACATGAGATGCAAGGAAGATGAAAGGTTTCAAAACATTCATCTAACGATGACCTTGAATGTGACCTAGACCATTCCACCTGGTTTAAAGGTAAATACAGTTTTCTTAAATTGAAACCACTTTTTTTGACACCGGAAACGAAAAGAGCAAGAAACTTTATGTTCAAGTATGTCCATGACCTTGACTATGGCCATCACGGTTTCAGATCAATTTTTAAGAATACACCTGATTCAGTTCCTCAAATGAAAATTGAGAACAGTTTTATCAATTAACCTGACCAGGACCTTTTCAAGTAAACACCTTGCTTTTCATAGAAGATATTAAAAATCGAATCACTGAATTGAATTTATTGTTGCATTAAAATGTTGGATAAAAATTTTAATTACCAAACTATTGCATTATTTTAAATATTGTATTTCTTTCTCTTTCTCTTTCAGCGTGAGGAGCCGCGAGCTTAGAATTTTAAAAATACCTTTCGTGTGTCAGCAGTTTGAGTAACATTTACTTGTGTACTATTTGTGTCAGATTTAAAATTATATGCATTTTAAAGATCCAATGCAAGAAGCATCAATCTGAAAAACGATCCGACTTCATTCATAAATAACCAGTAGTTATTTTCCTCTATTTATCTTGGCAGCCACATCAATTGCAACTTTTGCAAATTCTTACTCACTGCTCTTCAATGGATATCGTAAACAACACGGACGAAAATATTTATTTATCGGATAAGTAAGTCGGTAAGGTAAGCAGACTCGGATATCGGAATCCAAACATGGACTACAGGGGAAATAAAGGAAATTCTCATGCAAACTATAGAAAATTGCAAGCGATCTCATCTTAGTTAGGCAAAAACATTCATGTTTTTAATACTCCTATGTGTAAGTTTGAATGAAAAGGTCAGTTGCTCCTAAAATTGACTGTTTTCGAGTCGATAAACAAAATTAAGTTTTAAAGAGAATAATTTAAGAGAAGATGCAATGTTTTGTTACTTAGAGCATACCAAATCTACAAAAATGAATCTCTTTTAGTGATTTGTTTCTAAAATTTGACTTTTCATTAGGGTTTTAATCTCATCTTTATTCTCGATTTCTTCCTTGAAAAACTACATCGATCGATATAGCGTAGAGGAATAGAACTTTGATTTAGGCACCTAGCGATTATGTGTTTTATGGTTTAACGAGCAAAAATTCACCAAAAAAGTTTTTGTTGTTAAAAGCACTTCCTAACTAGAAAAAGATCAACTTTAGAAACTATTTACTCAAACCCATTTTTTCCAGAGTAACTGGAAGTATCTGAAAAAACAGACTGAAGCACGAAACAGTTGTTTGGTTATTTTGTTTTAAAAAACTTCTGTGCTATTTAAATCATATCATAATAACGTATTCTATTTCATCTCTGATAATTTTTCGAACACGCGAGTATAGTATACGAGTAGCTATCTTGAGGTAGAATACGTTAATCAATGTTTTTACTTAAATTCTAAATACTACTGCTCATCAAAAATACTCCGCCTACCAATTTTATGATCAGGTCAAGTTAGCACTCCGAAAAACGGAATTCTAACACCCTATATACTCGTAGGTGTTAGAAAGCTAGTGTGTCAGTTTTGGTATTTGTGAGTTATGCGTTGTGCTATCAAATTGTAGATTAGGTATGTTATGTCAGGTAGCAGATTGAGGGCGAGGCTTATTCATCACTCCATATAAAACAAAGTATTAAATTCTTTATATCCAAACATATGCGATAATAACATTATAATCAAGAAAACTTTACAGTATAGAACGATTTTTTTAGTAGTTTATGATGGCGTTTTCTAGACGAGCCTTTTTGATATATTTTGCACTTTTGTTAGCTTTTGATGACAAAAACTTCGTGGAGCTAGCAATTCATTATTAACATAAATGAAATTTTATAGTTTTCATATGTATGCAAGAATTTATTAGCCCGCTTAGATTGTCAGTCGCATATAAAAAATTTCATGGAATTCAGACGCTATACAATTATTTATTTTAAAAATCAGTCAGGCATGTTTGCCATAAAAACCTGGACAGTTGGATTTATTTACTAGAGTTAAACGTGTATAGTAACTCGAACAATACTGAAAAATACCTTGGACAATTTGCACGGAATTAGCGAAAACACTGTCGTAAAAAATTGTTGAATTGAATGTTCAATATACGAGGTTCTAAAAGCACATGTTTCTAACTACATATGATATATGAATTTGAGAATGTGATTTTATTTGTAAAATCGGAGAATCATCAATGCTTACCTCAACACTCAAATTGCTAAAGCTAGACGTATATAGTAGCATGGAAAATAATGAAAAATACTTTGGACAATTTCACGATCAGGATCTACATATAAGTAGGGTTCTTGGACTTGAAAGTATCCAATTTCAAATTGATCGCATCTATGATGTTATTGCTCTTTAGTATTTTAGAACCTATGTATTTTACACTTCATTTTCCTTCTTGTTTTAATACTCGATCGTTTTTTAAAAGTTCTAAATTTTTGTCCGTAAGTCACCCATATTACAAAGCTTAAGTATTTTTACATAAGTGCATAGCCGCATCATTTTCTACTTCAAATTTATGATAAAATACATTAAGACACAAAAAATATATAAAAATTAAATTAATGCTCCCCTGCGCTCATATTAAAAACAAACGTTAAATTCTCATTATAATTGTATATCCATTTGTTTCAACTTTTGTTTTTTATGTGAGCGCAACACTTTTATTTCTATACATGTTTTGTGTATTAATGTGTTTTATTACAGATTTGAAGTAGAAACTGTTACAACTTTGTACTCATATAAAAATACTAAGCTGAAAATTTGTAAATTGGTGAGTTTTGGACAAGATGCAAAAATGTGAACTTTAAACTTTAAAAAAAAACAATGAAGTGTTAGAACAAAACGGAAAATGTTGACAAAAACCCAAAGTACTCAAGTTTTACGATGCTTGAATGTAAAATTTTCATTGAACTTGAAATTTGGGTTATCTTCACGACTGGAAACTCGGTAATAAAATAAAAAGTACGATAACCACATGAAGATAACGAAGAACAATATCGTACGATATATCGCAGACCAACAAGATTTAAATATATATATATATATATATATATGTACAGGATACTATGTTTTTACTACATACTATATGAATTTATCAATATCATCTCATTTGCAAAATTATATAATCATCAATACTAATGATTACCCAAAAGACTTTAAAATATTGTATCACTCATGACAGCGTTTTTAACATGAAAACACCGCCATTTGAAATTGTTTGCTAAAAACATGGACATATACTCTGGACAATCGGTACGAAATTAACAAAAATCGTAATGCCGTGCAAAATTGTTTTCAACTCATCAGCAGCATGTATCTTCTGGTCTGGTATATCGGGCTGCTGATAAAGAGTATATACCACAGGAAGAAGACGAAGAACAATATCGTATGATATACGCAGACAAACAAGATTTGAATGTGTAATATACGTGTACAGGATATTATTAAAAAGAAAACTATGTACTCACTATATACTATACGAATTTATGAATATGATCTTATTTGTAAAATCCTAGAATCATCAATACTGTCGATTAGCCAAAAGGTTTTGAAAAATCGTATCATCCAATAAGGCATTTTGTCATCAAAACATCGTTATTTGAATTTGTTTGCTAGAATGATGGAAATATACTATGAACAGTTGACAAGAAATTAGCAAAGATTGTTTTTGACTCACCGGCACCAAAGTATCTTCTGGTCCGGTATATCGGGTTGCTGGTAAAGAGTACGACAACCACAGGAAGAAGACGAAGAACAATATCGTACGGTATATCGCGACGGCAGAGTTGATCGGAGCGGAGCGCAATGAACGTCGAATCGACTGTAGTATGCGGCGGCTAGCGCTGTACCTGACTGCTGACTGCTGTCAAGACGAACTCCCGCCAATTTCGCTGATCGCGAGTCCGACGAAGACTGGCTGGCCGTGGCCGATGCTTCGCCGTTGCTTTGCTTGGCGTGCTTGGTCTGCTGTTGTTGTTGCTTCGAAGAAGCGCCCGCAGTCGCCGCCGTCGCCGTGGAGGCGGCATCGCAGCCGCGACAGGTGAGCGCGGAGTATGCACCTGCACGCGCTCCATGCGCTGTTGATGCATCTTTCTGGATCTCTCGCAGACAACCTATGGAAGAGTGAAAGATATAGTAGGTATAACAAAGCAAAATTTCTGAATCAAAACAAGTACATAGTTCCAAACTAGCTCTGAACTATTTCCGAATTATTTTTTCGCAGATGTCCGAGGTATATATATAGTATAACTAAGTCTACTAAAAATACTAGTTAAAGAACTCACCTTTATCACGAGAAGTTTAAAAAAACTAGATCATTTTAATTAATATCGCTGGGCGGCAAACGTATATAAGACAGTGACACATCCCTGGAAATATTGGTGAGACGAACAACACAATCTGCACCATTTTCAGCCATTTTAAATTTACTACCAAAGGAAACTGTCAAGCTGTGTCAACTTCAGGACCAATAAAAGTAATATTTCAACTGTGGCTTCACGCTATACTGAGTGTTGCTGCTGCTGAGTTGATATATATGCATGATGCCGAAGAAAAAAGTTAAAAACCAGATCTCAACGTAAAAATCAGATACAATGGAAGTTTACATTGATGGAAACTTGGACACTCAGAAGATTCTAGAAGAAAATAAACACTTAACACAGATATTAGAAGAAAAGGATAAACTAATACTACAGTTGAGCAATGAAAATGGAAGAACAGTACAATTTAGCGACATCAGCCATACACGAAAAAGGTACCGTTGAAACAGTGATAAATAAAATAAATCAAAGATTGACTGAAATTGAGAAAATTAAAGAGAAATCATATGCCCAAGTACTAAAGCGAGATACTCCAACAATCAAGAAAGACCCAATGAAGAACATAATTGTCACACCAAATGGTATCCAAACATCTGAACAAACGAGAAAAGACCTTAACAAAAAAATTAGCCTTGCGGATTTGAAAATACAAATAGAAAATATACGAGATTCTAAAAATGGAGGAATTATAATTAAACTGGCTGAGGAACACCACAATACACTCAAAACTGCATTCGAAAAGAAATTAGGAGATGAATACAAAATCACAGAACCTACAATGTTTAGACCGAAGATCAAAATTGTCAATTATAGATGCACGGAGAAACCACATGAAGAAGACATAGAATTAGATCTTATCCAACAAAATCATTTTATTGAAAAAGATGACATCAAAATCAAATATGTAAAGTATCTCCCATCGAAAAAATGTTACACATTATTTGCAGACATTTCTGGCAAACTATTCAGGGCAATATTTGAAGATAACAATGGAAAAATTCTTCTTGGATGGCAATGTTTACCAGTGTATGATAATAACGAAATAACGCAATGCAAGAAGTGTCTTCGCTTCAATCACACCGAGAAAAAATGCCGCAATAACAAGACCTGTACCAACTGCAGCAAAGAGGATGTACACGATACTGACTGTTGTAAGCACGAACCGGTTGTATGTTGTAATTGCAAATTTTCAAACTATAGATATAACAAAAATTATAGTACCAACCACTCACCATTAGATAAAAAATGTCCAACTTTTCTATATTATCAACAGCAGTACAACTTGAAAATCCTTTTTTAAGAAAGAAGAAATTTTAGCCAAAATTTTAGAATATTGCATCATTTATGACACACGACTATGTAAATAACTGCCAAATTCAACGTATTAGTATTAATACTGCTCATGATACTAGCGAGCTAGATTCTTTTTTACAAAATCCTGAAATATCTGTTAGAATTTATCATATGAACATCAGAAGTATAAAACATAACTTTGACTACTTTAAATTAATTTTGAGAAGAATACAAAGTGATATAGATATAATCATTCTATCCGAAACATGGCAAGTGGGCGATGTGACTCTGTTTCATTTAGAAGGGTACGATACATTGTATAATTTATTTTGGTAACCATAATCAAAACGATGGAGTGATGGTGTATGTACGAAACAATCTGCCTTATAACCATACCATATTTACAATCAACAATGAACTAAAAGGTATCAATCTAACAATGCAAATTGAAAATCGTAGAGTCAAAATTACTTGTGTTTACCGACCACCATCTTCAGATCCTCATACATTTATAAGAGACATAGATGAACTATTAAAAAACAATGAAAACAATCACCTTCATAATCAAATATTTATAGGCGACATCAATATAAACATTTTAGAGGAAAATTCTATGGTGAAAGAATATTTAAACATTTTATCAAGTAATGGTTTTTTATCATACATAAATAAAGTAACACGACCCACCAGTAAAACCTGCATTGATCACTGCTTTATAAAGGATATTTCCAATATTTTTTCTTACATACCTATTATCTATGAAACCGATATTACAGATCATTATTCCACTGTATTATTGATATCTTCACAAAATAAAAACCAGAACTGCCCAAGGGCAAAAAATGAAAGAAACCTTGAATACAAATATTTCACTGACAACTCAAAATTAATATTTAACGCATAAACGGAATCGTGGGACGAAATTTTTTTAACAAATTCTTTAGACGAAGCTACAAATTTATTAATACACAAAATTCAAAAAGTAATTGAAGTTAGTACTAATAAGGTTAAAATAAGTCACAAGGAAAAAAGCAGAAATGATTGGATGACCAAAGGACTAATAAAATCTGCAAACGAAAAAGAAAGACTGTATAAAATCATGAAATATTTACCCACGAAAGAAAATATAGATCATTATAATCAGTATAAAAACAAATTTATAGAACTTTTGAGAAAAACAAAAAAAAATTACTATATAAAACAATTGAATAATAATTCACATGACTCTAGACACCTATGGTCCACTGTCAATGATATATTCAATAAGTCATCCTATTCAAAAAACAATATTAATGAAATAAAAACAAAAACAGGACAGAAAACAGACAATATTCAGCAAATATGTGATGAGTTCATAGAATTTTTCACGAATATTAGCAAATAATATCAAACAAAATGCTGATATTCATCTGCATGAAACAAGACTGAATAATTCATTTGTATTAACTGAAGTAGACTATCAGGATGTTCTCAATGCCATTATGACTCTAAAAAATAAAAAAAGCCCTGGAGTTGACGGACGTCACTAACTATCGACCTATTTCACTTATATCAAGTTTAGCTAAAGTTTTTGAGAAATTACTCCTTAATAAAATGATTAACTTTCTTAATAAATTCAAAATTCTAAATTCAAATCAATATGGTTTTATAGCTGGCAAATCTACAACATATGGGGTATTAAGTATAGTAGATGAAATAACCCAAAATATAGATGGAAAAGTACCATCGATATGCGTATTTGTGGACTTACAAAAAGCGTTTGACACAGTTAACCACAATATACTTTTGGAAATCTTAGAAAGAATAGGTTTTCGTGGAAAGATGTATACTTTAATGGAAAATTATTTATCAAATAGACCGCAATCAGTAAAATTATTAAGCTCGTATAGTAAAGAAATGTTTGTTAAATGTAGTGTTCCACAAGGTAAAATTTTAGGTCCTCTGTTATTCAAAATTTATTTAAACGATATATTCAAAATTAACAGTACTGGTAAAATAGTCAGTTTTGCAGACGATACTGCTATACTCTATAAAGGTAAGGATTGGAACGACTTAAAAGATATTATCCAAAATGACTTTTGCAAAATTATTCAGTGGTTTAATAACCGAAAATTAACAATTAACTTTACTAAAACTCATTTTTTACCATTTTCATCACTATCTAATCATCTACCAAAATATAACCACCTTCGGTTTAAGGTAAATGATAAAAATATAAAAATCAATAGAGTTAATGATACAAAATATTTAGGAATTTATCTAGATCCCCACTTGAGATGGGATGTACATATTTCTCACATACTAAAGAAAATTAGATTCATAGCATATAAAATAAAATTTCTAACCGGTATATTAACTGAATATTATCTGCGAATAATATATCAAGCTTTAGTCGAGCCACACATAACATATGGTATAGTAGTGTGGGGTGCTGCATGCACGACATACTTTAACGATTTAGATGTACTTCAAAGAAGAATTTTAAAATCAATGTTAGGCAAATCAAAATTATACCCAACTAATGACTTATATAATGATGCACAAGTATATGATACTAAACAACTTTACTTCTTACATACCATCACTCATTATCACAAAACTATTAGTGAACACGACATAATTAAACATAATCATAAAACCAGATATAAATTACGCGCAAAAAATGTTCCTAAACCAAACAAATCCCTAATGAAACGATGTCACCTGTATATAGCTCCAAAATTGTACGAACATTTACCAAATAATTTAAAACAATTACGCAATACATTAGGCTTCAAAAAAAAATTAAAAAAATTTATTAACACGATTGGGAGAAATCAAATTAATAAAATAATCTCAAATATTACACAATAAATACTCTACCATTCTTACCAATAATTTCTTTTTTCTCTCTATTTTATTATATTTTGCAATTCAACATACATATGATCCATGCACAGGCGTTGTCCTCCTATGGATATATTATATTTATTTACTCGTTTCATGTTCCCTGTATTTTAGAGTAAATAAATATTATTATTATTATTATTATTATTAAATACCGCTCAGAACTACTTCCGAACTATTATATAGAAAAGAGAATTCCATGGCTTATTGTCGCAAACATAACCTTAATTGAAGTACCATTTAAAATGTTCAAGCTTCCGTGTGAAGTTTTGTCTTTTTTGGAACTTGGATAATAGATCATCTTGACCTTAGAGGACGCACGCCCTGCTACAGTAGTAAAGATGGAAATTAAGAGCAATCAATAACAACATTAACATTAACAAACATTAAATCTATTGAAATGAACGAAATATATGATAATAATAGTAATAATAAATAATAATAACAATAATAGTAATAATAATAATGATAATAATAAAAATGGCTAACATAATCCACCAAACTCTAGCTATTCAAAATGGATTACCTCGTAGATATAACATACCCTACTACAAATATACACCAGAATCTTAAATTATAATCTATACTACGATCGCTCTATACTCACGAATAGAACTATACACAGTAATGGACCGGACATAGTATTACACGATATTAGATGTAGCAGTCAAACAACAAACATTTCAAACAACTTTTTCTCTTCTACACGGTGGCATAATAAGAATTTCGATCTGATGTTTCAGCTCTCAGTTTTTTTAAATTATACCGTTTTCGATGTCTTCATCATTACGCTTAAATTGCATAAATAAGTTATGTTAT